CTGACAGTCCTGGCGGCCAGTTTGAAATTCTTTTAGATAGAAGCATCTGCCGAAAAGACCGATGCCGATAGCGACAAAAACTGCGGGAACTCTGCAAAAAACGCATCTTCGCACGGGCAGTCCGTGCGTTGGCCATTTATTTTGTGCTGTGAAGATGTGCTGTGCATTCGCATAGGAGCCGACGGATTTCCGACGCTAACGGATGGCCGTTAGCGAGGCTGTATAAGCTAACGGCTCCTAAACTCCAGGCCTTTTTGTTGGCTGCTAGGATTTTGGTTTGCTGCTTGGGATCGGCTGCTGATTGGTTTTGGGATCGGTTTTTGGGTCGGCTTTTGGGTGCTCTTCTGGCTAGCTTTTGGTGTGCTTTTTCTGGTTTCATTTGGGTTATATTACCAAAGTTTGAGCTTGCTTTTGGGTTCGCTATCGGGACTAGCTGACGTGAACAACTGGAGTCTGCCTCCATCACGCCAACCTACGTGCCGCAGTCGCTAAGGCACACACTGGTCCAGGCCAAACAGTTTCAACTGTTGGTCCAGGTTAGTCAACCGACACAACAGCTCAGAGTACGAGAGGGTGAAAGTTTTAGCGCGAAATTGATAACTCGAGAACCAGAAAAGCTAGAAAGCTGAAATTTTGAGGTTATATCCTCCCGTCTAGACTGAACCCGAAGATTTCAAATTTAGCCCCCAGGTGTGCGTGATTCCCGCGTACAGCCCTGTGAGGGTTTCTGGCGCGAAAATGGCTAACTCGGGGACCAGCAAAGCTGGTAGGCTGAAGTTCTCAGGTAATGATCCCAGACTTAAATTTATCAAACTCAGCCCTCTGGTGTGCATGGTTATCACGTACGACCCCGTGAAAATTTTTGGCAAGAAAATTACTAACTCAGGAACCAGAAAATTTGGAAAGCTAAAATTTGAACGAAATATCCCCTGTCCAAATACCGTGTAGACAACTAACTTCTCGGACTTCGAGGACCAGTATATCACACATTTCTAGCTTCTGGGTTTTCAAGCATCTCATTCCCGCACGAAATATTGAAAAAACGCATGTTCGGACGGGCCCGCCCGGCGCGCGTCGCCAATGATTTGTTTTTATGCGTTTTTGCTGTGCAGCGCTACAGCCGGCAAAAATGCATATTGTCGAGAGGCTGTCTGTGTGTGTGTGTGTTCAGAAGCGAATGCTGTGTGATCAGAAGTGAGTGCATTTTGTCATCCACTTTCATCTCAGCAACCAGGAAAGCTGGGAGGGTGGAACTTCGGGTATATGTTCCTAACCCGTGTGTCACCCTCCCGTTCCAAGATATCCCCCCATACGCGCTCAGATCCCGCATACAGGTCTTCAAAAAAATGCAGATTTGTTTGGCGGGGAACGATTTAGCGAGCCAGGCAAGCTAGACAGCTGAAACTTTGCAGGGATATTCTCTATGTACAAGTGAGCTGAAAATTCAGACTCAGCTGTCGAGCACGCTTGTGAAGCGCGTACGATCAGAACAAAGTTGCGACTCGGGTACTGTGCTAATTCAAAAACTTGTCAGAAAATAGTAGCTGAAATTTTGTCAGCTTATTTGTCGTTCACATAGGAAATCGTATACCTAAAGTGAGCACCAAGTTGCACTTACGCCACGACTTAGAGCACTTCAAAAATATTTGTAGCGAAGTGGATATTCCGCTTACCGGATAATTTGCAAGGCAGGGATCATTTCAGCATAGGGATCGTTCCTGCTAATACTGACCTGCAAGTTTAGTGCAAAAACGCATGATCGCACCGGAAAGCCTGGTGCGTTCCAGCCTGGGTTTGCTTTTGCTTTTCGTTTTTTATGCGTTTTTGCACGTATGCAAATTGTAAAAACGCATATTAGGAAGAGGCTGTCAGTGTTTTCTTTTCTTTATAACTTCAGATTTTCTTTAACTTACTTTTCTTTCTATGGCTGTGTTGTCTCTTCCTCTTTACTGCTGTCTCCTGTTCCTGCCTCAAACTCCTGATTAGCGCCCCTTTTCCCCTGCTCTATCCTGCCCACAAATCCTGCCTCCGGAGCAGCACTTGGGCACCCATTACCCTCCATCCCCCAGCCATTGTCAGCATTTATCGTCTAGAACTCCTGATTAGCGCCACTATCTCCTTCCTCTTTACTGTTCCCAAACATGCCCTCCGAGTACGTCTGGACAGCCACCTATCATCACTCCCAACTCCCCACCCATCACTCCTCAACCGCGCAGTTCAGTCGCCCAGCGTTGGGTAGTGCTACCCTACCCAACATTCTTGACAAAGTGCCAAGCAGCACTGACAAGCAGTGCTGCAAAATAGCGTAAGCAGAAAAGTTAGAGCGTTCTCACGGTGGCGGCCGAGCCGAGGTTTAATAACTGCCGGGGTTTAGTAAATTACGATTTTTTTTTAGGAGTTTGGGTTTTAGTGAAGGTTGCGACTCGTGATTTTTGTGCCGCGGGTAGGGGGGGGGGTTCAGTTAATCCATCCTGAGGGTTCAGTGTTACCGAAATCATGGTTTTTCGCGATTTTTCGCATTTTCTTCCCAAAAAAAAAAATCATAATTCGTTATAGTTATAGACAATAAACGATGGCGTCGATGAGATGCGCAGCGGTGGATTCAAGCAGAAATGAGGTAGTGATTGCTCTGTCGCAAAGGAACAACGTCCAAGGTGATGATTAGTTTTTATGCGTTTTTTACAGCTATGCAATGCTGAAAACGCGTATTGACGAGGGGTTGTTTGTGTGTGTGTCTGTGTTTTTGTGTGTTTTGTGTCTGTCACGGTTTTTCATCTCAAGACCTACAAAAGCTACAGGGCTGAAACCTTGGAAACTTAATCTACATGCAAGTACGGGCCCCAGTCCCCAAAATTGGCGCCATAACTCGCGTGGTACCCGCGTACGGGTCCGCCGAAGTTTTTTCGGGTAAGTTCATAACTCGGGGATCGGAGAAGCTGGAAAGCTGAAATTTTAAGGGAATGTTCCCCGTCCAAGTAGGTACCAATGAGCTCAAACTCAGCCCTCGATCATGCGTAGTACCTATGCACGGGGTCACCAAAGTTCTTCTCGGGTAAGCTCATAACTCGAGAACCTGTGTAGCTAAAAGACTTTAGTTTTAGGAAGATATTCCCCGTCTGAGTAAGTCTCAATGAGCTCAAACTGGGACATAGGGTATACGTGGTACCCGAGTGCGGGCTCGTGAAAAATTTTTTCAAGTAAATTGTTAACTCAGGAGCCAGGAAAGTTAGAAAGCTGAAATTTTAAGGGAGTGTTTCCTGCCAGTTTTGGCGGCCAGTCTTAATCTGTTTAGCTAGATGGATCCGCCGAAAAAACCGATGCCGGTAACGACAAAAACTGCAGGGAACTATGCAAAAAACGCATCTTCGCGCAGGCAGCTGGTGCGTTGACCAATTTTTAAATTCTTAATGTCGTTCGTAAGTTTATATATCCTCTGTCGCATTTTCGGGTACGTCAAAGATATTTGTAACGAA